AAAGAAAACATGTAACAAAGTAGAATGAGAAGCAATGTATGAAACAAAATAAACCAATTAGAAATGTGTTTGTTCAAGTAATCAATTTCTAAGTTGAGTTAAGATAAAGTATTGTTGACAAAAAAAGAGAAGCGTTTGAAAAGAACAAAATTGCTATTTGAGACTCTTTCGCTAAATCCATTAAAACATATATTGGGCCTATTTTGTTGGCCCATTCACTGCTAACTTATCTCTGCTTTATCACAAACAAATCCTTTCCTTCTTTCCTCTCTCGCTCGCATCGGAAAACCCTAATTCTCCAGTCGCGCGCCTTTTGCCGTTCTCGCTTCTCACAGATTCTTTAACCATGGCGGCGGCGAGCGAGCACACCGTCTTGCAGTTCGTGGCTCCGTCATTGACGGCATCACCTACGACTCCTGTACTCACGGCGAGGATCCACCCTCTCGTTATCTTTAACGTCTGCGATTGCTTCGTGAGACGTCCTGACTCGGCTGAAAGAGTCATCGGTACTCTCCTCGGATCTATCTTACCTGACGGAACTGTCGATATCCGCAATTCTTACGCCGTTCCTCACAATGAATCTTCCGATCAGGTTTCGACTTTGATTGATCTCTGATGTTTTCTCCTTTCTCTCGGATTCTGCATCGTTTTTATTTTCAGTTTTTCTAAGTCCCTTTGAGTCATCTAATGTACTGGGTTCTTCAACTTCATTTCAAAATTCGATTGTTTAGCTTTCTATTGGTTGATTCTAGATCTGCATCGTAGCTTAAGAGTAGATATGGTTTCTGTTTGTGAGAATGTGAGGTTTATAGGAGAACTGTAGACGAATTTAGTCAGTTCCAATACTGCCTCATACGCCTTTGGGCATTACGCATTGTCAGTTTTCTTCTTTGTAAAATCTGTTTGATTTAGATTTTGTGGTGTTGTGACTTGTCATGCATTTTGAGGGTTAATGGTTTCATATGTATGCAGGTTGCTGTGGATATTGATTACCACCACAATATGTTAGCTTCGCACCTAAAAGTGAATCCCAAGGAAATTATTGTTGGCTGGTACTTCTCATTTTCACTCCTATTTCCTTAACTCTCATTAATATTCTCTTATCTTTTTTTCACGTGATTCGTATAACGATTTTCTCTTTGATGTGTTGGGTAGTTCACATGAACAAAATGCTTATTGATAAACTCCTGGATTAGACTAAGTAGTGGGATCTTTGTCCACTTCTCAATACCGTTCTACATAACTGCATCAGTGGTAGTTCTCGTTTTGGAATAGTTGATGGAACAGCTTTATTGATTTGCAGGTATTCTACCGGTGCTGGGGTCAATGGCGGTAGTGCACTGATTCATGACTTCTATGCAAGAGAAGTTACCAACCCAATTCACCTAACTGTTGACACTGGTTTCACCAATGGTGAGGGTACCATTAAAGCCTTTGTATCTTCAAACCTTTCGCTTGGTGATCGACAGCTCGCCGCACAATTTCAAGAGATTCCTGTTGATCTCCGTATGGTTGAGGCTGAGAGACTCGGATGTGAGTTTTCTAACTTTCTTTTACCTTCCATATTGAAACTTTATTAGTAGTAGTTACCAGTTCCATATATGTAATAGTCCTCATTATCATAGTCCTTCAGTTTCTGCATGCTTGATACAGTATATAGAGACTGTCTCCCTATTGCTTGTGAACTTATTCAAGGATCTTAGGTCTGTGTCTCTACAGTTTATGATTTTTTATCCTGGAACCATATATGGCTTTATTGTTTCTTAATTCTGACTGGTTAAGAAAATATCATTTTGAATTCGCAGTCGATCTCCTTAAATCAACAGCTGTTGACAAACTCCCAAATGACTTGGAAGGAATGGAGCTAACAATGGAGAGGCTGTTGACTTTAATCAACGATGTCCACAAATATGTCGACAGTGTCGTGGTGAGCTTATTATTCCCTTAAGCTAAAACAGAGTAGTAGATGCATGTGATCTCTGATACAATAGTTTAATGAAATATCTCAGGAAGGTCAAACAACTCCAGACAACAACATAGGACGATTTATTGCAGATGCAATAGCTTCCCTTCCCAAATTACCGCCACAAGTCTTCGATAACCTTGCCAATGATAGTCTCCAGGTAAAAAAGATCGTAAAACTCAAAAGCCAAAAAAGAAAACCACACGTTATAACAAAAAACTAATGGATGTGTTTTTTTTATTTGCCTGTTGTTACAGGACCAGTTACTTCTGTTGTACCTATCAAGCATAACGAGGACACAGTTGAGTCTAGCAGAGAAGCTAAACACAGCTGCTCAAATGCTGTAATAAGCTTTTGAGACACAAAGGTTTTGCTGAAAAATGTTGCTTTTGGTTTCAATTTTTTTTACAAGGTTGTGTAAGATTCAGAGTCACTTGTTGTAGCTTTTCCTAAATTGCAATTAAGAAAGAGACAAAAGGCTCAGTTTCATGGGTTATAAGAAGTTTTTAAAAAGAGTTTTAGTGGGTGTCTAAATTTAAACAAGAATACATAAAAAATGAAGCTTTATCATAAAAATTTATCCATGAAGCAAACAACGTGGAATAGAAAATGAGTTGCTCTGCTTCTTTATTCTAGGTACATAGTATGAATTCTAACAAAATCATATACATTTTGACCCAAAAAAAAAAATCATATACATATAAGTATATAACTATGGAAGTGTTGTCAAAAAGCTTCTGTAATAAATGGCTACATAACCAAAAAAAATTAATAATAAAAAAAGTAACAAAAGTTGGGTATATGAAAAATTAATTATTGTACTGGGAAATGTATATGAGTAGAGAGTGGACAAGATTCGTTATTACTTATTACAGATGTGAAGACCTTAATAATAATAAATTTTACACACAAACACTGAGATCAAACGTTAAAGAAAAGGCATGATACAGTGGTATGCAAGGTTGAAGATTTTACCGTGTTTGATGAGGAAACAAAGGTTCAACATCTGACCATGCAGAGGCAACAACGTAATGACTAGCTGGAGCGGTAACAATCGTGTTGAAGTTCCTTGATTCTTCCTCTATGTTGATCTCCACGACTCCTTCGTCTTTTTCGTCGTCCTCGTTTTCGCTAACATACTCATGTGGTTGCATATCTCCGAGAGACGAACGAAACTTCTCCAATTCCATCGACACTTCTCTCATGCTTGGTCGTTTTCTCCCTTTCAACTTCAGACACTTTCTAGCAATTTTTGCCACCGCAGTCACTTGATTGAGCTTGCAACCATCTCTTATTCTAGCATCGATAATGTCCGAAAGTCTATTCTCTTTCATTGCAAGAATGAAATAAGTTGCCAACGTCCTGTTTTCTTGAGACCGCAAGAAAGAAATCGACTTTTCTCCGGTGACTAACTCCGCTAGCACAACCCCGAAGCTATAGACATCACTCTTTGCTGTGAATTGGCTAGATTGGAAGTACTCAGGATCCACATATCCCACTGTACCTGAAACTACGGTTGTCAAGTGGGTATGATCCACCGTTACCGATCTTGAAGTTCCAAAATCAGATACCTTGGCTCGATACTTCTCATCCAACATTATGTTTGTAGACTTGACGTCTCGATGGTAGATTGGAGACGATGCAGACGAGTGCAAGTATGAGAGAGCTCCTGCGATATCTACAGCAATGCGGAGACGCACTTCCCAAGTAGCCATCGTGTTATCATCAAACTCATCATGAAGAAGTTCGAAAAGGTTACCGTTAGGAATAAACTCGTAGACAAGAACAGGGACATCTGTCTCGAGACAACATCCTAAGAGTTTCACGATGTTTCTGTGGTTGATTTGGGAGAGAATGACAACCTCGTTAATGAACTCTTCCAATTTGTCTTCGTCCACGGCTTTGGACTTCTTCACTGCTACAATTCTACCATCAATAAGCATTCCTTTATACACAGTACCTTGACCTCCTTGGCCAAGTATTCTATTTGAGCTAAAGTTTTCGGTAGCTTTCTCCAACTCTCTTGAGCTGAACACTTTTGTCTTCTCGATGTTGCCTTCCGTGGAAGTCAATTGTTGCTGCAACAATAGACCTCCGTTACGCTTGAAGAACTTCTTTTTTTGGCGTAACCTCATTTGCTTTCTAATAAATTTGTATAACCAAAACATTCCACTAATAAAGATCAATGAGCCGAAACTTGAAACAATCCCTACAAAAGAAAAACGAAAATGAAAATACTTTTTAATAAATCTTTAAAGGGATGCAGTGTATTTGTTGGGGTTAAAAAAAAATTCCTCGGTTACCTATAGCAATTAATGGGTGATTTGTGGGATTTGTTGTGGAACCTGTGCCCTCACAAGTATAGTCTCCCTGCCTATTCACACACGTGCCTCCCGGACAATAGTCTTCTAGGCATTCATTAATATCTGGTTTAGAAAGAAAATGAAATTGTAATCAACGATGTGATCCCATAGGTTTACTTTGATCATGGTTACAGAAGAGAATAGTTGAATAAAACTATGAAGACGTATAAACACAATTACTACTAACCTTTGCATGCGCCTGGAACGTACGGGTTGCCTTTGTAACCATTATTGCATGAGCATCTTGCGTAGCTTGAATTAGAATTGTAGTCGCATAAACAACTTGCATCTGAGTCGCAACCCAAAGAACCTATGTATGAAAGATTGGTGGTATAGATGAACCATCCTAGCTCAACAACCGGAGCATATTGTTCAGCATGTAGCCTTTGCGCATCAGATCCCCTTGGCAAAGAGTAAGCCTCGTCTGTTAAGAAAGCAACTTTGCACCCTCCTCTTGTTGTGTTGCTATCATCTATCTTGATACCAACAATCTGTTGAATTCCAGCAGGGATGCTTGCCTCGCAAAACCCAATATCATTGGGGTCTTTTTGGGTATAAATGCTTGTTTCGTTACAACCGGTGTAGCCAGATTCAAGACACCTGACAAACCCAAGATAGTCTTTTGTAGGCGTATGGTCTTCTTTACTGCAACTAGACTTGCATCCAACCATGTATGGATCGACATTCGTCAATGACGCCGTGTTGTTGCAACCAAATGCTATCAGTGTGTTTCTGGACCTAACGTAAAAAGGGGTACCCGTCAAATTCAAAAGCGACCCAAGCTCTTCTTCTCCATTGCTTGAGCATCCCTTTGACGTTATTTGGTTTTTTATGCGAACCGACCCGTATGGAATAGAGATATTCACAACTTCCTTGCTAATTACGGAAAGAAAAGGGACGAGTTTCCGTGAATTATTAGAGGTATTATTATAAGCACATTCAATTTCATACCACTTCTCGAGATAGCAACCCTGTCCGATTCCAAAGGGGTACGGAATCTCGATTCCTCCACAGTCACTTGGACAAGACTTCTTGATAGCTGTGAGAGCGGCTGGATCAAAGATCA